CCCCCCTCCCCCTCCCCCCGCCGCGCGGGCGGGAGCCGGGCGCGTTGCGCAGCTCCCCTCAGCCGGCCCTGTGGTGAGGGGGGAACCGGGCGCTCGCTTTGCCCTGGAGGCATGTGAGCCTGGGGAGTATGGAAACAAATCGCCAAGCTGGGCCCGGGCAGCCTTAGCTCTGCCCTCGGCGCAGGTGAGCCGTACAGGGCCGGGACGCTGCGGCGGCATCAGCCGGCTGTGCTTCACCTGTCCCTAACGGTCGTGCGAGGGCAGAGAAAGAGGAATAAGGAGAGGGCGCGCTTTGAAGCCGGGTATCCTCTGGAAACGGCAGCTTTCGGTCTGTCAGCCGGCGTTGCGACACGTAATCTTTAAGGCGCGTCGATATAAAAACTCCGCCGGTTTTGATTGCGTAGGCGGAGCGCGTCTCTCTGGTAGGATCACTTCACAGCCGCCGTCTGGAAATACGGTTAAGATCCTACTGAGGTGTCAATACTCTGAAGTAGAAATGTGACCTGGGCTCTGAAGGCAGTAAAGGAAATGGCTTAAAATAAATCAACCTAGTGTATTTTTCTATTGTCTGACTTGGTGAGCACGCTGGCTGCCTCACTGAGGCTCTTATGGCTGCTTTCAGCGTTCCTCTCCCCTTAGTCATTCCTTCCTCTGTTGAGCCTTTAATCTTCTGGAAACGAAGGACAGATAGGGTACGTACCCATTCTCCTCCAGTGATATTTTGGCCAGCGTGCTGGAAAACGCAGCCACGCCAGAGGGTCCTTTTTTCCGTTTTCTTTTAATACTCTGTTGCGTCTTCCGTTTCTTTAGGACCCTTCTGCTGCCCCACTCCTCCTTTAACGAAGGAAAGTCGTCACTGCTTTGTTCTAGAATATAGGGTTTGACAGTGGGAGTTTCTGTTACGTTGCATTGAGGTGAAAAGCCCCACATGAGAAGTACAGAGCGAGTTGGTTTAAGCCCATTTCTCCCTGTGAAGGAGCGTTCCTGCCCCTTGCTGCTGCCACCACCAGTGCTCGCACACCTCTGTGGGCAGGGCAGAAGGATCAGCGGCCGAAAATGCTGCAAAGAGGAGCGATGAACAGCACTAATTGGGACAGGCACTCTCCGGAGGTGCAACCTCAAAGGCAGTGCTGGTGCTGGAGGGCCAGCACAGAACTGTGAGCGGCTGCATGTAAAACCATGAGCAAAGGGTGCGTTTTTGGGGAGCTACAGCTTAGCAGGCAGCACGTTTAACCAGCTGGCTGTCGAGATTGGGGGGACTGCTCCCTGCATGCACCAGCGGTGATAAAATTATCATGTGCCATCACACGTCCCCCTCTCAGGGCACATGAACAGATCTGCACCCAGCAGTGCCCCATGACAAGCAGCATGGCCCCGCCGACTGTGAATTCAGCGCTGTCTTCGGCACAGAGGGGACTCTTGTTGGACAGCTGCATAAACAGAGCAGGAGAAGAGATAAAAACAGACGGCGGATGTGATCTGAGGTGACCTCGGGCATGCAAACACGCTCTGCCTGGCTGCTGGCACGTGTGTGAAGGCTGCTTAGCACAGACATGGCATGGAGGAAGCGGCTGGAAGGACACACTGGTAGCTGGAGCCCTTTCTGCGTGGCCTTACACTAGTTGCATCATCTCTGTGCTGCATATGAAAAACGACTGAGGAAACCTGTCTTCCTTTAAATCAGGGCTGAAGATGCAGAGAACTGATGCCCATCGTTTGTTTCTCTTCCTGGATGTTGCAGGAATATGCACCGCTCTTTGCTTTTTAGAGATCCAGAAAAAGAGGGAAAGTCACATATTTGGAATTACAACCAGTCTGAAACTCCAAGGTCTAAAATGTGCTGTGTACGAACAGCTGGATGCAACAACTGGATCCAGCTTTGGCCCATGTCTACCTGGTGTCCCATCCTTCCTGCCTCTACCATAACGCAGAGACAGGCAGTGGCAGTTCTTCGCAACTCTGTCAGTGCAGGTCTGTGCTGCCTCCTAACCATCGCACGTGTTACATTGAGTACCGCAGAGCGCCTTTAAAAGGGGACTGGTTGGCAATATGAAGACAAGTGAAAATGGAAAAGAACCATAAAGCCAATTTCTGAATCTATTTGCATTTTTACAGCTTTGATTCTCTTTTCCCTAGGGTATCTCTCCTTTTGGCACAGTTATGCTGCCGATAAAGTAGTATTTAAATGTCCCCAGTGTTCCCTTGTTGCCTTTCAAAAGGAAAACCTCGGACTTCCAGGATGCAACTGGTTTCTTTTTGTCTCCCTACCCATTTTTTGTCTACAGCACAAAGCTTATATAGGGACAGCACTTCACATTAGGTGACTGGGGTGCTTTCAAGCTGGTTCTAGGATCTGAAGCTGAATTCAAGGTTGGGTTTCATTTCGAGGCCAGCCCAGACAGCAACTCACTACTGCTGAAAAGAGGAGACCTCTTCCCTGCCATGCCTGCGCTGCTGACCGCCCACACCTCCTGCTGCGTTCAACCAAACCTAGCATGTGCGAAACCCCTCTATCAGCCAGTTTAACCTTCTGAAATATCAGAAAATATAATCCAGCAGCCGTTTGTTAGAGGTCTGCCTGCAGATAATATGCTTTGGGCGTAGAGAGGCCTCTTTTTTGCTGGGGGTTGTAAAGCGAGTATATAACTGATGAACTTGGAGGCTTCACACCTTAAGTGAGCCAGCAGCAGGACCCAGCAAATGTCTCCAGCAGGCAGCTTACGCTCAGCATTCCTTCTAAAGAAGATCAAATACTCTTGCTCTGAATCATGACAATAAATACTTTACTTGGCTAATACTCTCCCAAAGGATTAATAGTGTGGGACTGAGTAATGTCATCCCCTTTTCTGATAACAACATTTGATGCAGAGTTTGCATCTGACCCGCTGTGTCAAGCGACAAGTGTGGCATGACGCCACATGGGCTTTTTCCTGCCTTCGGAGCTCCCAGATGCAGTCACTGACCCTCTCCTTCCCACCACCTGAACCCACAGTCTTGGCTTAGCAATTGCACACAAAAAAAAAAAGTGTGAGGAAAAGAGTCTGTGTCCTCAGTTTGCTTCTCCAAGTCCACACTTCCAAGGCCCATCCAAATACCTTGGCACTGAGTGGGGTTGGCAGAGGCAGCAGGGAATTTTGAAAGACAAATTCTCTGCTGTATTCAGTCAACTTCTACCCAATTCTCTGGAGTACAATATCTGAAGTTAAACCGGGAAAACAGTCCTCTCCTTCATGAGGTTCATCTACCCAAATGAGGCCGTCCCAAGTGGTTCCTTTATAGGTCATGGAGGGGAAGGGATGCTTTCAGGGTGCTTCATTTCACCCTGAAGCCTTGTGTAAACTAAGTCAGCTGAACTGCACGTTAAAAGTGCCTCTTCTCCTCATGGTCTCTGAATTAGTGGAAGGGGAGCTGGGTGCGCACTGCTGTGACTAGAGCTAAGCTACTACCAGCTAAACCCAAAGCCCTTCAACTGCCCCTTGCCACTGAAATCCAACTCACATCCAGGCAAGATCATTAGGACAAAGCAGAAACACTTCTTACAACTACAAAAACAGTGATAAAGGGCAGAAATTCTGTTCCCCAGCCACCCCAGGAGGGTTGCACAAGCTGCTGGCAGCCTCTTGTGGCACTCAGCGGGTTGCTCCTGCGGCTCTCTGCTGTCTTACAGCCCTGCACCCTGCCGTGTCGGGCTTTGCTGGCTGCCTGGCTCATTGCAGCAGAGCAGCCTGTGGCTGCCGCCCGCGAGGCTTCAGCTTCAGCGTTTATTCATCCGTGTCTCAGCTATGCTAGCATAAATCAGGAATAAATCTGCTGTCTCTTAGCAGCCTGCCCTCCAGATGAATGCTGGTGTAATAACCTCATTTTCTCCAGCTTGTGCCTAAACATGAACTCTCCTCTGCAAGTCCATGGAAGCTGCAATTATGCAACCCTAACTCTGTGCATTAAGTACTCCCCAAGCCGCCCTCCAGGAGCTCCCATCCCAGGCTGCTGTCGGCGGGGACTCAGGCCTGCAGAAAACCCAAGCAGGGTCTGGCTGCCACGCTGGGGGCAAGACAATCTCCTGCGACCTTGGAAGGAGAAACACAGATTGCAGCTGGTTTAAAGAAACCAGTCTGCCTGCACAGAGCTAGCTGCAATTACATGGGAATCTAGACAAGCTGTTGCCCATAGTCCCTTGTGATCCAGGGCAATCGGGTAATGCACCCCTACTCAGATGCTTAACGCACACCACATTAAAACCAATGAGTCTGTTCATAAGGGAAAGCTCTTCCACAGTGATGCTCCTACTGGTAAGAAACCTGATCTATTCTCTGTCTAGTCTCTTAAGAAAACATTAGTTGTTATAAACCCTAATCCACTTGCAATTATTATTCAGCACATGATAGAGAAAACACAGGACAGTGTTAAAGCCATTGAGGCCTTTAGAAGATAGGGTGACTTGCAAGGGGAACCGGTTGCACCCCCCCCAAAAAACAGAGAAGCAGCACCAGGAGAACCTGGCTGCCAGACAGAGTTTGTAAGGAGTGAGCCTGTGCCCAGAAGCAGCTGAGCAGTGCTGGTGGGACTGAAAGTGAAGGTAAAGCTGTTATTACTTTTTTCCAGAGGGGAATGATTAAGAGCTAGTGAGATGCTGCTGACAGGAATAATATCTGCAGCATGGGGCAGCTAATGAAAAAGATGAATCCTGTGATGCCAGAGACAAAGACACTCTGGAGAGTCACTGGTATTTTTAGCCTGGCTTTCTAAAGAAATGAGGTTTTTGCAATTGCTCTGCGCATTCCCAGAATATGGGGGGTTGAGACTTGCTACAGGGTTCATTTCTGCTTGGCCGTAGCTGGTATCAAGGCAAGGCTAGCCACCTAAACGTGCTTGTACGTCCGAGCAGGTCCAGGTGTCAACCCAGCAGCAAACAGCTGTGCAAGGGCTAATTTACCCTATTCCTCAGCCCTTGCTGGTTTGATGAACACCTTGTTGTTTAGCAAAGTTTTTCTTCCATTTTGGTGTTCCACGTAGCCCTGCAAGGGATGTGAGCTGAGATGCTAAAGGACTTTGGACTATTGATGTTCCTTTTGGGCTTCCTGCAGGCTCCTTTCTGTTTCCTGGTTGGAGTTAGCAAAGAAATTGTAGAAATCCCCCCGCCCCACGCTGCCAGAGAAACAGAGAAAAATGCGTATTCCCATCCAGATTTTCTGACTGTTTCCTGCAGACTGTTTCCTGAAGATTCCCAGCAGTTGTGAATGAACTTGCCTGCCATTTACCGCGAGCAACAACTGAGGTCTTTTGGAAAGGCAGGTTTTCTCACAAGTGCTTTCCCATCATTCACTCAGCTTGAACCATCAAATTCCCCCAAATTCTGAGGAACTCGGCGTACTCTGCGAAGTTCCCTTGCTTTTGGAAATACAGGCTCCTCTAAGTGGTTTCAGCTCCATGCCTGAAGGAATCGTAGGCAGTGATTCATCACACGGAGACAACACATCCCAAACAACCAGAAGGTCAACTGTTTCTTAAGGCAAAAATATTTTGCAGTGATTTATAACCGTATCTGGGAAAATTGAGCTCTTATGTGACTAAAACAGGCAAATAATAGATTGAGAAGAATTTCTTCTCATCAACACTCAGCACCCTTCTCACGGAAACATCACACACTTTGCATACTATAACAAAATGTAAGTTTTATTCCATTTTATTAGTAACGGACACGGAAGAGCCAGTCAAAGAGGTGGGTTGATGTATCTTTGTCTTTTGACCAATGTCTTTTGACCAATATTCTAACTACAGTCCAGATGTAACATTTACACTGAAGAATACTTACAGATTCAGTCTCATACGCCACAATTTTCTAGTACAAATACAGTTAGTACATAAAAAATGAACAAATAAACAAAATAAAAACAGTCCCAGAAACTTCATAACAGCACAGACTGGTTATGGCCTTGTGTTAAGTTCAAGTATTTCCCAGAGGAATGCAATGCAAGCAACAAGGTAATCTCGCTTTTACTGGGGACATTCCTGGCCCTGAATGGTAATAATAGAAGTGTCAGGGTGGGCACTTTATCCAGCAAAGTTTAGTGAAAGAGTCAACATTTACAATTAGCTCAGCTGCAAAGCTAAACTCGTCTCGGCAGTGAACAGGATTACTAACCTGTAAAAGAAGCAAAGCATTAATCATACTGCTAGCATTTCTTCCCTGGCTGATGCTGCCCGCCATTTAATTGAAATTCCTTGAGCAGCCAGCTTCATTCAGGATGTTTGTGATGGGGTTTTTGGTGCTTGTGGCTGTGTTTATTTTGCCTCCCTCTCCTTTTCCTTCCCAAACAGATACAATAAAGATGCGACCTCTCTTATTGCCCTGAGTGGAGTCATTCCTGCAGAGGCATTAAAGCACAGTCATCAGCTGATGTGGTGGTGTGGAAGAACAAAATATCCTAAAGGCTTTGGAGGCCAAGAAGTGGAGGAGGAACAGGGGAATATATTTTTACGGCTGTCTGCCTTGGGCTGGCTCCTGTGGACTGCTTGGGTGGGATGTGGAAGAACAAGGGTCACTTCTCCCCAGTGTCAGAGGAGCGTGCCAGGCTCACCGAGACAGGGCAGGTGACCGTGCATCCCCCAGGGCAGCCCAGACCAGGCTGCTGGACTCCCAAGAGGTTCTGCCAAGTTTTTCTAAGCGCTTGGAAGAAATGGGAAAGCAAGATCAGCCCCTTTGCACAGGGGAGAAATCGAGACAGACCTGAGCCAACCCCAGTGCAAAGCGTTTTATACACCAAACTTGTTTCGATCTCGACAGATGAGCAGAACTGACTGGAAGAACGGCTCGGAGAGCGGTTGTCCTGTCTCCCTGCTGGACGAGGAGACTGTATTGATTGCACAAGTGTCTGTCCTGGCTCTAGCACTCATCAATATTGCAATTACTGACTGCCACTATGGAAAACTGTGTGCGCGTATTAAATGTAATGGTGACACTCGCCAGAAAGAGGCTGCGAATTTGCTGCATGATTGGCTGGTTGTTCAAAATCCTCTTGGCAGACTGGATGAGCGGTGTAAAAGCAAAAAAAGGCAGGTGGGGGGGCAAGTGCAGAGCAAGGGCAGGAAGATGCCAGCCATACCCACGCACATCTGCAGAGGGGGCAGGCCGCAGGCCTGCAGAAACAGAGGTGTCAGGGAGGAGTAGGCTCTTTGGAAGAGGCGGATGGGTACATGAAGGGGAGCAGGGTGGGAAGGTGATGCCGGGGCTAGCTCTGCTGCAGCACTGTCACCAGCACCCTGCACTGCTACGAAGGCATGGCCTGGCTGCTGTTGGTTCAAAGACAGCGATGAAATGCACCCTGAAAACAGGGCCCTTGGAGAAATGTTGAAGGGACGGGAGATGTTCAGCTTAAAGCAGACTCAAATAATATGAAAATAGTCTTCAAACACCCAAAGGTTTCTTCGGATACAAAGGAAATAAGCTCTTCTCCATGTCTATTGAGGGCCAAATTCAGGATTTGCAGCAAGGGACGTTCACGTTAGCCATTAGGGATGCTCTGTGGTCAAGCTCTGGGGTTTCTAGCTTAAAATCTGCTCCCCCTTTCCCCACAGTGAGGCAGGATAGTTTCCAGAAGCAATAGCAAGGGAGGTGCACGCCAGCCCCTACATTTGGTGACTCACTGGTGAATCTGCAGGTCAGTGGGAACCAAGGGACCAATCCGAGTCATCAGGAAATGCTCAGGCCACGCTTGAGGCTGAGGAATGTTTTGCTATTATGGGCAGGAGAAATGCAAAATCAGGGCTCCCACCCAGCACGGAGCCTGCCTGCATTGCATGGGAAGGACAAGTTTTGCCAGTACTGTGATATTGGTAGTCATCCTGAAGGAATCAAGAAAACCCCCAGCAGCAGCAACCAACCATCACTCTCGTCAGAGTGTCCATCCCTCCCTTGGGATCATGCCTTTAAATACATGCTATTTCCTGTGGGGACAGCAAAAAACTAACAGGGTTCACATTGACATGCGCTACAAGCTTGCGCCCTGGGTGCCCTTACTAGGATGCAAACAACTACTGAGCAGGATCTCTGCTCTCCTCCCCAGCCCTGGGCAGTGGACTTGGGTGCGTTTGCCTCCATCGCCACCACCACCGAATAGCCTCCCCTGCATTGCCTGAGCCACAGAGGAGGACAGGTTTCCACACAGAGCTGTCCCATGGGACAAGGAGCAGCAGCAAAGTCCTGCAGAGCAGTCAGATATGTTTCTCTCCTCACTGCTGTGGGGTGAACTTTATGAGCCTGGAGTTCAAAATTTGTGGCATATGGGCCATCCTTCCATGGGATGGATGTGTGTTACCACTGACCGTTCCTGCTGGGGAGATCCACTGACCCTCCTCCTGGATTCAGTGGATCGTTTTCAAGAGGAAGGTCTTTAGTAACGAGGAGCAGACTGTGCTCCAGGCATTTTACCAATGCCTTTAGTGGGACCAGGACCAAGCCTCAAAGTATTTCACAGACAGTTAAGCAAAACCATATTGAATATTTGCAGATAAATGCCTCACTGGATGTTTCTTTGATTTATTTTTAAACCTACTTTTTTACTACCAACACCTCTGGCTAAGGGCATTGCATGGATTTATCTGTGTTAGCAGGTGCTGAAGGCCATATTCAGGTGTATCAGTTTGGCCTGAGGGCCTGACTACGTAGGCACCCTGGAGACTTTTGGAGACTGTTCTCAAGGACATGAGGAAGACGGTCGGCAAGCAGTTACGTGGATCCAGCGGATCAGAAATACTGGCATGGGGACCTGTGTCTCACTTCATCTGGCTGGCGGGGCCCTGAGCGAACAGCGAGTGCATTTCAGCATATGGGCAGTGCTGCCCTTCAGTGGGGATTTACTCATTTCATATTAAGTTTACTCTTAAATGCTCTTCCTGTTTAGGTCCTCCAGGGTGGTGAATCAACCATTTGGCTCCTGGGAGGTTGTGAGAGCATCTGCCAAGCCACCGGCATCTCGGGGAGATCTCCACTCTCTGAAGGATGTGACCCACTCTGAGATCACAGCAGCAGACCACAGGGCAGTAACTGATTTCAGCCTGTCCCATTCGACAGCAGAGGTCTCTTCCTCCGGCTAACAAAAAACCCATATAGTAGGTTTTCTTTCCGGTCTGTCTTACTGGATGGTGACAAAGCCAGAGGCCCACAGCTGAACGAGAGACACAGGGTGAAACCACTCTGACAAAGTATATTCTCAATACTAGCAGGAGCCTTGGAGCTTGGCAGCTTTTTTTAACACGCCCTCCAAACTCTTGTAACTGCAACCCTCCCCCCCACAAATCCAAAACAAAATCAAAAAATCTCCCATAAACTAGGGAAAAACTCGTTACAAGCCTCAGTCCTGTCCCCACTGACCTGCTGGGAGCCTCAAGCAAGTATGTGAAAAGCTGCAAATTCCCCAGGTGAGGCTGTACCCAAAGGCTGCTCCAGGAGGAAGATCAGCCGTCGTTCTGGATCAGCTGGGGTTACCCAGTGAGGGTGGAAGGCTGTAAATTTCCTGTGGATTGATATTACATTTATATTTATACATATATATTCACACAGACATATTCATATGTGTCCATATATATACTTACATGTACACACAGACACACACTGTATACACACTATGCATAGATCCTGTGGTCTGCCACTATTTATAAGGGTTTGATTAAACAGAAAAACAAATCTTTCAGCACTGATCCTCCAATCTCTAATAGAATTTACTAAGTAAAGATGTCCAAACCCTTTACAATTTTGTTTTCCTGGTTGCAAAAAGGCACTTTCTGATGATGTGAAGTAGCAGTTTGTTAAAAACGCTGTAACTGCAATGATCCCCATCACATCTGCAGCAAGAGCTACCCAGAAACCGTTACAGTGCAGTTCCACTGCTAACTCCTGCTATGGAGTGTTTGATCGTATTTGCTTTTTGTTTCAATGCAGAGGAAGAAAAAAATAAAACCGGTAGCGCTCTGCCTTCATAGATACAGTCACTGCATTTCTGCCCCCATAACCTGACGTGCAGTGCCAGGTCGCAGATCAAAGCACAAGTCTCTGTTGCATTTGTTTCCAGTGACGCCTGCTAATGCACCTACATATTCAGATAGGAAATTAGGAAAGTGTGTCATGAAAGTTCATGCAATGTGTCAGTTGTTTTCCCTTTAAATCAAGGGATCAGAAATTAATTTTGATTAAGGATATTTAGTAATTAAAAATTCCCTAACCTACAGTACTCTGTCCTCACAGTGCAGAGGAGGAGTTGCTCACTATAGGGATGACTTCTCTTCTGAGTGACCAACAGCTCCTCTCCCCATAACAGCGCGTTGTCCAGTCTCTGTTAGGGGACACGGCAGTAACCAAACGGGTCGGATATGCAAGGGCTCTGCCCCTTGCTATTGCTCGCTGGAGGTTGCCAGCTGGAGAACGGTTTGGAAATGGAACGGAAATGTCTTTTGTTAATGCACTGGAAGGCAGCACGAAATTGGTCTGAAACTCCTTTTCACTGCTGGCTTCCATATGAAAATTGCGCCTGTGCCCTGTGAAATGAACTCAAGACAATACTGAAAACAGAAACAAACCAAAATAAAAACCCCACTTACACTGCCCTCTCTCCTTTTAAACGAGCTATATCCATACAGATGTCTTTCCATCTTTGCTGCTTGAGCTTCCTTTCTCCGAGCAGGCTTTGGGTTTAGCACCTTGTTTCTCCTGGGCGGTGTTGGCCCTGTTCTGCTCCACCACTGTGCCGCCTGAGGCGGGACTGCTCGTTCGAGAGGGCTGTGTGTTGGGCTGGGTGCCGCTGTAGCTCTGAAACGCTATGTCTAATTGCTCCTGGGCCACTCTCAAGTGTTTGTGAAGGGTGGACAAGTCTGCCGGGATATTCTCATCTGGACTTGTGCACTGCTGCTCCTGAGCAACATTAGCCAAGTTCTGCTCATGGGCCATCAGGCTGTTGGGGATCTTGGTGGACTTCTCTGATTTCACTACCAAGTTGTACTCAGGAGGACAGGAGATGTTCTTTGGGTAGGCGTAGTTGTAGGGAGGCTGCCTAAAGCTGTTGATTTTTCGGTTACGAATGGCGTCTCGGATAGTCCCAAACCCCAGATGAAACATTTCACACATGTTGAGCAATAAGCACAGACAGCTCACAACGTACATCACCAAGAGGAAGATCGTCTTCTCTGTTGGCCTGGACACAAAGCAGTCCACAGTGTGAGGGCAAGGGACTCTGTTGCAGACGTAATAAGCTTCAACCTCAAAACCGTAGAGAAGATACTGCCCTACCAAAAAGCAAACTTCAAATGACGCTCTGGCAAGCAGCTGGAAGACATAGATTTTCATCAGTCCTTCTTGCTGGATGCGCCTCCTCCCATCATGCTTTTGCTGTTCTTTGCTCTTGGTCTTGGCTTTGGCTTTTTCGTTTTCTGCTGCATCATCAGAGATCATGGGCTCCTCTTCATCTGCCTCCGTTGGGTCCTCCAGGTTGCGCACTGCCTGCCAGTTCAAAGCAAATTGTTTCTTCTTCTTGAATCCCTTGAACTTCTTCTCCTCTTCCGAGGACCTGGCGATCCTGTGGATGGCATAGCCCAGGTACATGACCGAAGGGGTGGATATCATGATGATCTGGAAGACCCAGAACCTGACGTGCGACAGCGGTGCAAAGGCATCGTAACAGACGTTGTCGCAGCCGGGCTGCTTGGTGTTACAGGTGAACTTACTCTGCTCATCGGAGTAGATGGACTCCCCTCCAACCGCTGTCAAGACGATGCGGAAGACGATCAGCACGGTGAGCCAGACCTTCCCCACAAAGGTGGAGTGATTGTGAATCTCTTCTAGCAGGCGGGTGAGAAAGCTCCAGCTCATGTTGGTCATAAGGGCTACTCAGTTATAACCTGAAGGAAGAGAGGGAAGAGAAAAAGGAAGTTAATGTCTGTGGCAACAGTCAGCAATAGAGATGTGACACTGGCATACCAAGGTCATTTTATTCTGAAGATAACCACTATTACAAGAAGAATAGTGTTGCATGGAGAAAATTCAAGCATCGCTCCATCCGAGCTTGTGAAACAAGCGGGTTTCATGGCTTGGCCATGCTGTCTGCTGGCCACCCTCACACGGCCCACAGGGCCGTAGAGAGGGAAAGGCCACAGCAGGAGTCCGGGGACTGCCGAGAGGCATCCTTCGTCCTGCAACCTCTCTCCCATTGCATGACCCTGGGTCTGCAAGGGACTTAGACAAGGGGCTGAGCTGTGTCAGTCTAGTGTTGGGGACTAAGCCGTGGCCAATGTAGGGACGCGCTGTGCCACATTGATAGGAGGCAGAAATACCTGGTTACACTGAATGTATGTAAGTTCATAAGAAGACAAGCCCTAGCACCTATTAGGTTCCTGTTACCCATTTTGTTGTCTGTTTCAAGATACTGCTCAGCTGTAACAGGGGTTTGGGAAGACCGTATAAATGAATATAGTGCAGAAGAGAAGCTGCCTAGGCTCAGAAAGGTGGTTAACTTGTGACGATCTCTTGCTTGCACGTCATGTGCCCAGGCGCTTGATGAGGGAAGGGACATGAGAGGCGCTGAACGTGGGCATAGGGGATGCTCCCCACATCATGGAGACTTGCACTACTGAAATGGCTTTCATCAGCAAGTCCAGAAAAATGCAAAAAAGTCAGCAAAAGAATGGGAATATTTATGTTTGCAGACTGATGGAGCTTTTAATTTCCCTTTGGAAAATAAAACAAAACAAATGCTTAAATCAAATGCAGGCTGTTCTAAAAATAACCTTCAAAAGCTTTCAGAGAAAACCGTGTGACTGTTAGAAGACCTGGACAGCTGGGGAGGAAGAGCTCATAATAACCATTTTGGGCTTAGCTTGACTTGCAATGGGGCCTCAGCCCAACCAACTCGGGTTACCTCCAGGCATCAAGAAAAACAGGCAGGTATTTGACTGACAGCAGCCCTGACAGAGACCTGGGGACTCATGACCCTGTGGTGGAGGCCGGGAAAGAAGGTACTTGCTAATCCCGCTCACCAGCCTTGGGTGCGCCAAACTGACCCCTTGCTCGTTCTCTGGACGTGTGCATCCCACACTCAGCGTCAGGTGCCCACATAAGCATAACCAGGACAGAAACTGTCCCTTACACCAGTAGGAAGAAAACCAGCCCTAGCTTCGTTGCCAAGTGGGCAATACAGGAAACGCTACAAGACACAGCTCTGCTCGGTGCGTGCGATTCCCTCCCCGAAGAAGACACGAGGAAGGACTGAGATGAAGCAGACATTGAAGCAGCTCCTGCGTGGTGGGGGCGAGATAAGGAAGGCTCCCAGATCTGAAGGGCACCTTGGTGGGGCTCCCGCGGGGGCAGCAGGGCTTTCGTCCTGGAGCAGCAGAGGATGGGCTTGTCCTTCTGCTGCAGAGATATGTTTCCTCCATGGCATTTTGTGGGGCTTTGTGTTTTGCAAAGCCACTGTTTACTTTTTTTTCTGTTCAGATCACGTTTGATCTTGGACAACTCAGGTGGGACTCAGTGGATGGATTAAAAGTCAGATTAACGTCGAGCTGTTTGTACGCAGGTGCCTGCCTGGGCCCATTAAAGCAGGCAGAGCCCCGAGAG